AAGATCCCTGAAAAAAAAAGAATAGAAATGAAATATCGCGTCCGTGGCTCGTTTGACGGGGAGCTACTCCGGCATTCGTCTAGTGAAGGTCGGAGAAACAACAGAAAACTATCGATCAGAGCAGCAGGCCAATGGAATTAATCTCCACGCAGCGGCTGAATTCAACCTGGTTGAGCAGCTAGTCTCGAAAATCCTGCTTCTGTCGGGACTCGAACCTAGAACCTTCCGGTCAGAGGAACTGCAGTGAAATACATTGTTGCCCTGAGTCACCTACGCCAATGGAAGACCATAAAAAGCTTGTATATTTGCTCCGAGATATTCTTTGGGGCAAACGATAAGTACTTTCTCAGTCTTACGCACCTTAATGTCACAAAGTGAAGCGCTGATCTTAGACGAGTCAGAGTGGGATAGCAAAGCTAGGCTTGGGAAGTGTCCCTTTCCTAGATCTTGAGTACGTCCAGCATTCACTTAAAGTCGAATTGTATAAATTGGGTCCTTTTTTATTTTTGTGTTACTTTTTCTTCCTGAACCTATACGAGTATAATCATTTCTTTTATAAATAATAAGCAATTTACATGTTTTGGGATCGTTTATATGTTTCTGCAATGCAAATTTTGCATAAAAATATTTTTTCAAACAAACATTTGAATGCTTATTGCGGCTCAGCCATTCGGAATATCCAAAGAGTTTATAAGACAAAATATGCATAAAATTATCATCAGAGCTTACTTTCGAAGTTTCGACGTTTCTTCCGTGGACAACCTGTATAAAATGTTGCATAACATTTCAAAGAACTAAGTAAAAAGAATTTTAATATTTCAGAAATAAATGGCTAGTGCATAATTGATTCTATTATTTTTAATCTAATGAGTACATAAAATAGGTAAATCGAGATTGAAATATGCTCACAATTTTGAAAAAAAAAAATCCAATCGGAGAAATATCACCATCTCTCAGTTTAATGTTGATTAATTTTCTTTCACTTGTTTAGTAGTACTAGATTGTGAGTGACGGGTGCAAGTATGACGTCACAGTGCTGTCTGGGCAGGAATTAAGGAACAGGAAAGGTATAGTCAAATTTTGCTGAGGCGTATTTTCTGTCTGAACTACTTTTATACGCCGTAAAAGATTTGCGTGCGCAATACTATGTTACTTACTTTCTGAGGAAATGGATGTTTTCCTAGAAAACGAATGGAACGTCTTTACAAGGTTTGAACTTTCAAATAGGTATGACGATCGACCACGCTAAGCTTCACAAACATGAAGTTTGTACTTCATTCTAAGCTGGGCAATATTTACAATACCGCAAAACACTTGACATTCATGGAAATGGGAAAAGGCAATGTTATTAACAAAAAGTTATTGTTGTAACGAATCTTCAGTTATTATGTGAATGTTTGAAACAAAATATTTTTTTGATCGATTAACATACAAAATTGAGGCGATATTGATATAGAATGTTAAAAAGTAGGGATGGGGCATCGATACCCTCGATACTCGGTTGGTATCGATAGTGATCGATACTTTCGGAAAAGGCTCTATACTTTTTGGATATTTTCAATTTTTTATGCCATTTGCCATCTCTTCTGATTTTATTGAATAATTGCCTTCTTCACATTCCTCTCTTCTATTGTTTTTATGCTAGCAACAAGAAAGTGTCAATCTGTTCGGATTGTGTTCTGAAGAGGGATCTCGAAACATTATGCTGTGAACACGCAACTCCAGCATAGAAGGATGAATTAAATGTGTGTCTATGCGAGGACTTGTTTCCTCCTGATGGAAATGCACTATCTTATCAAAGTGAATCTAATTTAAGAACAAATTGCTGTTCGATACTGAAACTTGTGCATTCCATTAGTTACAATGTTTTCTGTTAGACTTTTCAGTACCGCTGGATTGATGTGTGACAAAAAAGAAATAGAATGGAGCCAGAAAGAGTTAAAATATTAGTTTTCTTTGATAAGAATCTTTAAAATCTTAAACAAATGTATGTTCATCTCAGTGGTTTTTAAATATTAAAATAGTGAACGCATGTATGCATGAAGATCAAAATATAACCTTCGAATTATGATTCAACCACATTTTTGTTGAGACTAAAATTGTATGGTATCGAGTATCGAAGCTCTCAGAGAGGTAACGGTATCGATTATCGAGAAATTCAGGTATTAACCCATCTCTCTTAAGAAGTCTTTACTTCTGTCTTATTAATTACGTTGATGTAGTACGTACTGATTTTTATACTTTTCGTTACTTAGTTTTGCAACCATTTTCAGAATAACGGTTATCTTTTGTAAGATCTTAACCAATTCAGCAATAGGATTCAGCTGCAAATATACAGAAGATTATGTTAAATTCATTGTAAAATCTTTTAATATCACCTTAATTTTTCCGTTTCTTTAAAATACTGTCCAAAATAATATAATAAAAAGAAAAAGTAATAATGTGTAATTTTTTATATGACCATCCAGAACACACGCCATGCGTCCGAAAGCGCGCGGCGCCGTTGCCAGCACCCGCAGGGGATTTCTCGCGTGCGTCTTGCGTGAGTGTGCGTGGGCGTGCGTTTGCGGTTAAGTAACCGCCTCGCCATTGGTAGGATTCGCGCGGGCGCGCCCCCCATGGCGAACGGGTGCGGCGCGGAGGCGGAGGGGGAGGGGGAGGGGGATGGGGTGAGTGCGCGGGCTCCGGGAAGAGTTCCGCGCCCCCCCCCCCCTCGCCTCGAAGCCGCTCGTCACGGCGTGCGCCGCCAAGCCGCGCCCGCTTCCTGGGAGCCCGGCCCCTTGCACTTTCGCTGTGCGCGCCGCGCGCATCTCTCCTCCCAAAGCCCGCCCGGCCACGCCACGCCCCGCGCCGCGCACGCCGCTGGCCCGCACGAGGGGTGCTTTTTCTCTCTCTTTTCTCCAAGTTTCTGTGCGGATGGCAGATTTCTTTTTTTTTTCTTCTTCTTTTTTCTTTCTTTTTTCTCTTCTTTTTTCTTTTTCGGATTCGGCGTAAGCGATGTAAGCACGCGGTCAACTATTGACAAAGTGGGTGACGATGAAGAGGGAGGAGATGTATGTGTTCTCCATCCCGTCTGGCCTATCGACTTGTTAACCTATTGGTGGTTTGGGGTTAATTTATGTGTAATGTCTTTCATGAATTTCATTATTATTAGCAACAAACTTCTTTTTCTTTCTGTAATTGTGTGTTGACGACGCATATTCAGAAAACTTATATTTGACAAAACCCTGCAATTCTGGAAAATAGTTTTTTTTTGGTAAAAAGCATGTTATTCTATTTGCGAAAATTTTACATGAGGAACAAGTATGTTTTGTCGTCATTACGCTATTTTATATGATCAGGATACGTTCTCTCCACTTTTCAGGTAACACGACGTAGAATTTGAATTGTTCGTGAGGTTATGAAGAGACTCCATGCATTGACACATCTCAACATTATGAAATTCATGGTACTTTTCCTTTGGCATCCTCGTTATAAGCATAGTGTGGAAATAATGCTTTATGCAGAATTCGAAATTGCAAGAGATGACCTTCTAAAGCTGCGTTGCCACATCCCTCAGCAATATTTGGGTCGACAGTCATATAATTAGGGAATGAGATAGATGAATTCCCATCATTACGTTTTTATTCAGAAAATGTTTTTTGTTTGCAGATATCCAGATTACCGTGATGCTTCAAAGACTATCTGTTTCCAATTGTGGTAAGTTGGCGTGTGTGTGATTTTTGCGTAGTGTTGATGAATAGTAATTAAAATAAAGGAGTGTATGAGTCTGAAGATGTTTAATAGGAATATTTCCTTCTCCTTGAGAAAAAAGCACATTCTTATTTTATTCGACTTTTCTTGAACTTTTCTTGATGAAACATTCTGTAGCATCTTTGTAAAAATGTTGAAGAACAGAAATTATACTATGTATTGAGAATTACGCTCCAAAACAGATTAATGTATTAATTTACCACCCACGTCTTGTAAGCCAAAGAGTGTATCAACCTAGCAGCACTTTGTGGGTTCCTCTTTAATACGCTTCTAATATTCATAAAATATGTTGCGTACAGTAGTAATTTATAAACATTTTCCACAGTTGTCTAAGTTTATGGTACTTTTACTAGTATTAAGAGTTTTTGTTTATCAAGTAATACCATAATCTTATTCTTACCTTAATTGGCGATCGTTACCCTAATCTTTTTGTGGATGTTATTTTACACATCGTCAAAAATGTAATAAATCCTATATTGGAAACAAACGACTGTTAAATTGAATTAAGAATTCATTCCAGTTTTAAGTGTTTCTAAGTTTTCTACATTTTCCAGGCTCATTTTCTTGAAATATGGAGGATCTTTTTTAAATTAAATTAATAATTTCTCATTTTTATTCCTCACGGATCTGTGCGTCCTAGGGCTAGTTCATCCTCAGAGCCTTCTTTGCCCTGATAGTATCTTCAATAACTAGGAACTGTTTGCTGCATTCTCCTACGGTATCAGAAAACCGAGATTCTAAATTTGGCCTCGATTGCTGAAGTGTAATATTTAGTCACATATTAGAAATATATAATGATATATCTAGCACATACACTATAACATATTTATAATGTTATTAATAACATTGTTACGAGCATTTTAAATAACTGAATAGTACAAAACCTAGAATTTTAACCTAATTCCGTTAATGACTCTTTCAGTGAATTTTTATTGTCAATAACGTATTCTAACTGGAAATTAAAATATGAAAAATAAACAACTTCCTTTATAGTCTTCTGGATTATCTGGTATAAATGGATAAATAAAATAGTCTACTACATACTTCCTACTTAATAACGCGCACGGAGGTTTTTAAGCGAAATCTTAATTATACTTTATCCAGTTACAACATAAAAAGCATTTGAAACACATAAATGCATAAAAAGCGAAAACATATATGTAATCCAGAAATACTCTTTCTTTCACGTTTTTTTAGAAGCTCGCCGTGCGTGAATGCAGTGCGTGAAGCTTCGCGAAGATTTCGCAATGGGATGGCCGCGCGAAGGCGAGCAGCGCGGGCCGCGGCGAAAGCTCCGGGCGGGACGCGGTGATGCGAAGGGCGCGGCGCGCAGCGGAGTCGCCAACATCCAGGGCGGGCCGCGAGCTCCGTGCCGGAAGGCGCCGCCGCCGCCGGGCGGCTTTCACCGCGAGTTGGGAGGGACGGCTGCACTCGGCATGCACCCCGCTCGGCGCGCTTACGCTGTGAGTGCAGTTTTCGGCTGTTTATTTTTTCTTGTTTTTCGTCTTTTTAAACTATTAAATGGAATTAAGATTTGCTTGAATTAATTGAAAAATGATATAAGTCGAAATATGTAAAATTCAAAATACGCAATGAATTAGCTTTTTCGTTAGGTAAAAAGAATGTTTACTCTGATTCTTAGCTTTACGTAAGTTTAAAAATATTATCTCATTCGAATTATGAGAGCTGATATTTAAAAATTAGGAGAACTTTGTTTAGTTATCATGAACAATAATCCTCTCCTAATATGTGAGCTGCGTATTCGAAAAGAAATTAATGAAAATAAGCTTTTGAAATATTTAAACTTAAATATATTCTACTGATATTTGGAACTGGGCTTCGCCATAAATAACTGACGTTACTGCAGCGGAAGGCGCAAATGGCATTAGATCTCCATTACGTATTTCAGACGTAATGCGGAATACGGTGCTGTAATATATTTGGAAAAATAAGGACAGAAAATGGTCGTAAATAAAGAAACTGGGCAATATTTGTCAATTCACAATTTATTTTTAAAAACATTTTTATAGTCAGTTTAGTTGATCGTTCCATAGAAAGTAATAAAATACGGCACTGAGAAACACTTATAAATAGACAGTCCATTCTGACAGATCAGCAAACATAGCACATATCGAAAGATCGGACGTAGCGACGTGGAAGATTGACAGACGCAACACACTCGTTCCAAGCGGCAATGGGGATTAGGAACTTCTGGAAGATAGAACGGTTCTCAAATTTTCTCGCCGAATATGCGCCGATGATCGCCGGCCAGGAGGCCGACCCTGACATCTCCGGCCAACAGTGCGGAGCCGTGCGCCCACGACACGAAGCCAGAGATGGCGATGTCGCCTCCTATTTCCGTGAGAGGTTCCGCTCGTTGAACTTGGCGAGGAGCCCGGCGCGAAGCCTCCGATTTCTCTGCTTCTCCGGAGCGTAACTAGACGGACTGTGTTCAGTGAAAGCGTTCTTCATTCATGAGCTGCTTCTTGGAGCTAGCTTTGATCCCAACGTACTGTTCGTAACAGAATATATCAACGAGGAGGTTGATCTCAAATCATCCTGCATATTTCGAGGGTGCAGAGGCGAGGAGAGAACTCGAATAGTGTTGAACTGTGCCAAACTAGAGGTCGTCCCTGCGTCCGATCCGAGCTAGGTGGGGATTGTCGTCGGGCTCGAACGTAGTCGATGGAAAGCAGAGCATCTGCGGGAGCATAACGTCGCGTGTCTTCTACCCCGAAGAGGGAAATCGAACAAGAACACCCTCTTCATGAGCCAGAAGGCATCGCAGTGGGCGTGAAGATCCCGGCGTCGAGTTGCTTGGGCGCGGGCGGCCTGTGCAGATGCTTGTTGAGTGCGCTGCGTTCGAGCTGCGGCCTCCGCCGGGGGCAGGTGGGGCGCGCGCGGCGCCTCACGGCTCCAGGGCTACGACGGCGGGCAGCGCCCCCCGCTGATAGCGCTGCAGGTGCACCTGCTGGCAACGGGAGAACGCGAGCGTCAATAGGCGCGAGTGTGATTGGTACTGCCGGTTGCCGAACGATGGCTTAATCAGATCGCGGAAAACTCGTCTGGTTTTGTTGCGGGAAACATAGCATTAAAAACACATTGGAGGTCTTATTACGTTAAGGAAAATGCTAATTAACACAAAAATGTTGTTTGAATTTCAAATATTATATACATTGAAAAGTGTAATGTCGTAAAAATTACATAATATTATTGAAATTAATTAACGAAAGCATTAGAATTCAATACTAGTTAGATTATGTATGACGGTATGCAAACTATTGTCTGAATGAACAAGATATGAATTTAATTCATTGATGTCTCTCTCTGTCTGTCTGTCTGTCTGAAAGTTTAAATAATCATGTAACTCGTTATTTTATTGTAGTAAATGGTAACCTACATTTCTATAAAGTCCGTGGCTTCTTAGCATATTTAAGAACGGTTGAAGAAAACACTAACAACGCTCGAAGAATAAATATTATAGTAAAATATTCTGAAATATTATTAGACACTATTTCTGAAGGAAAAGTATTTCGGTGTAATTTATTGAAATAAAAGAGGTGTTTTGAATATTTGTGTTAACTATTTTCCTGATTTTTTATTTTTTACAGCTATTGTGTCTAATTTTTATAGGATCTAATAGAAATGCAAAAAACACAGATTCAGGAAAAATCTTTTAAGTACGAAATGTGTTCCTGCTCGCGAAATATTTGTCTTTAAGAGTTAATCTAAACATTTGCCTATTTAGTGTGTCTTTATGAAGTTGTTATTCCTATACAGTGAGATACCATAGATAAAGGGTGTTCTATTTAACTTGAGAGTTCATTTATTACAAGCATAATTTTCTGTAATGTTTCCAATTTCTTCTTCAGTTGGTTTCAATGTGAAATTACTGTTCGGCTATCCGAAGTTGGAACGCTCGTGCAATTTAACGAACTTGAAGTAGACTTATTGTGGCTTATGGCGACATAACAATCTCTTTTTACCTAAACCCATGCAGAAAAGGAAGATAATGTTTTTCATGTGAAATTAATAATATTCCGTGTATGCATGTAACTTCTGAAGGATTCAGAAGATTTTCAGGGTTTAAATGCCAATATAACTTGATACTTGTACATCTATTGATACTTGATTGATACTTGTACATCTATTTTTTTCTGGATATGAGACATTGTAATAATATGACAGACGCTCGACGCCATTTCGTTAAATTTTAGACATCGTATCTTCGTATTTTCTGTTGATATTATTAATTTCTTAATATGTATTTCAAACATTAGCGCACAATCGTAGGTAAACGTCTTAGAAACAGTCATCCTCGTTTTTTTCAATAAACTATACACTTATAAATTGAATGGCTTATTTAAAAACAAGAAAAGTCAATGCCTTTTCAGTTGGGATATGAAAATTTATAATACGTGTATAAGTCACATTGCGTCGAATTTTTGAGTTCTATTCCAATCATCCACTAGAATCGTTTGACCTATACTTAATCTACCTTAAACGATGTTTAGATACAGGATGAGTCATTTCAGGTAGAAAAAAATCCCCACTGTCTTCTCCTTAATTAGATGAACAAACGCACTTCTTTTCTGCACAGCGGTTTCGTAACTATTTTTTACGCCCTCGTAACTCTAACGCCCAGAATATTGTACTTAAGTGAGTTAAAGCCCTGAGGATTGTTTTTCATATTGCTGAAGAAAAAATATACTTTTTTATACTCAAAAAGAAATACGCAGATTTGTGAATTGATGGCTATGGGGGCCGATTACGTCAGCACGGAATCGCACGTGGTCCTGCAATCGCGTCCGTTCGTCAGCCGTCAGAACATCAGTTCGGCCTCAAAATTGATAATACATTTGTTCTTCAGAAATGACGATAATAACCTGCCGAATATACAACAGCGTTTCAAGCCTTGGAAATGAGCATACATTTAAAAACAACAACAAACGTTTCTACGGGAAAATACGATTCTGAGACGAAAGAGTAAATGAATTATTTATTGTTAAATTATGTGGAACATGCTGTGTTTTTCTATCTAAAATGACTTACTTTGGATATGAGAATGTGAGTGTAATGAGAAGTCAAAATTGAAAAAAAAAAGTTTCTACCATCTTTCAAATGTAAAATGTGATCCCTAGGGTAACACGTATTCGCCGAGCGAGGGGCGTTACAGTGTTACCTCCTCAGTGTCACTGGCGGGAAGTCCTGGTGTTCGTGTCGTGAGGTTGGTAGGATTGTCAACATAGCTAGGGCACGTTCAGACGCCGTCTGGAGGACGTCGTCACCTCCAGCGGTAGATACAGGTTCTTTACTTGCGGGACTAATGCCCTTAGCAGTTATGGGATATTAGTGAATGAGTGGAGCGGGGCGTTACCTGGTGGTGCGGCTGCTGCTGGAGATGCGCGGCGGCCGGCTGCTTGAAGTAGGCGGCGAGCACGCGGCTGCTGGCGGCCGGCACGACGAGGGGCGGGCCGCCGCCCGCGGGCCCGGCCACGGCGGTGGCGGCCGGCGCGGCCACGGCCA